TTAGATGAGGAGGATGGTTCTGTTTTCGCTTCCCTGTGTCCGCTCCTCGGAGGCGACCTCACGCTGGAGCTTGCCGGTCGGGAAGTATCAACCGAGATCAAGGAAAGCGAAGAGAGATTCTTGTACACGTCCGAGGTAGGAAGGGCCGCTAAGTCCTCTGCAGTGAGTCCAGGCTTTTTTATTCCCAGCTCTTCTAGTCTCTTGCTTTCTTTATCCGCTTGTCTCTGGCTCGAGACCGGCCTTGTCGATTGACGGGCCATCATGCTTCTTGATATAGCACGGAGGCCCTTCTCCCAGCGGTAGTTTCTGATCTCGTCCATTCTCTTATGCGAGATGGGGACATAGTTCGAAGGCAGCAGCCTATCAGCTTCTGTGCAGATGTTGGAGGCGAGATCGAACGAGGGCAGAGTCGAAGCTTTCGACTGTCTTTTCCGCGGGGGCATGGTCCTAGGTGCCCTGCGCTGTAGACCTAGTGGACCTTCTTTGAGCACAGAATCTTGCCAGCGCGTAAGGTCAGACATTTATCTCAGTAATGCACAAGGACTGGCTGAGTGCTGGGCTCGACAGTGGGGCCTGTGCAGCATTTAGGAGCGGAGAGACATTAGATAAGTTAAGTGCTGTCATGCATTTAGGGCAGATTGTTTTAGTTGAGACTGTTGGCTCGGTCGACGGCGCGCAGCTGTGAGAACATAGCTGCGTTTTACCTGCAGGAGGAGACCTCACTTGCTGGTCGCAAAAAGTCGAGCTCTATCCTGCTCATAGCTACCAGTATCTGGAGCGGGCTTGTTGCACCGCCCAGGAGTCTCTACACCCGAAGCAGCAGTGCCACAGATGTCCCGGCTTGTGTCGAACACATGGAGCACTGTGGCATTGGTCGCAGCCTGCTCCGCATGATGACTGTGGTGGCGGAGGTGCCGTTGCCTTAACCAGCGCTTGGGCGACATTGGCCTGGCTTGTCGTCGGCCGGGTGTGAATGCCAGGGGTGTTCTCAATGGCAAGAATCGTGCCCTCCGGGTTGGTTGCCATGGCGTGGTGATGATGGAGGAACAATCTGTACTGGTCAATATGAGCAGAACGGCTGATGCTGAGTTAAGTTGGGGCTTCAGTCAGGCACATGGCGGAAAGTCTCTCAGCTTGTAAGCAATGCGAGAGCCTGGAGTGTGACTCGCTCTGGTCGACAGCTGACGTTAGTGTAGCTCGGCCTCAGTTGTAATGGGAGAAAGGCAGTTCGATGCAATAGTCAGTACGCCACTTGAAGCCTGACGTGTGGTGCAGAAAAGACTTTTCCTGGCAGGCACGGTGCGCACGAGGCGGCAGAGAAGGGAGAAAGAAAAACAGGTTGACTTATCAGCGCCCTCGTTCTCTCAGGAGGGGACCTCTACACGAGAGTAGGAGGGTTGTCTGAGGCTAAGTGACTAGCTAGATCCCCCAGGAGGGCAAGGGGGCCTTGGACAGCTCAGGAGGGGACCTCGACTCGGGTGTCCTGGAAAACTTTAGCCCTCGTTGCCTCCTGTGCGCAGCGCTTCTAGCTGATCACGGAGGGTCTGCATCTGTGGAGACCGTCTTAGGCCCTCCCTGCGCATGGTGACCCCCACTAGGTTCCAGACTGAGTTGTTCGCTAGAAGTCGAAAGGCGTGCATTGCCTCATGGTCGTCTCCGATGGTCAGGGCCAGTTCCAGGAGGAAGGCGATGACCGGCCTTTCTTCCGTCAGGTTGGCTCGCAGCGGTCTGGACGGCCTGAACTTGGTGAGCTGTTCTTGATCTAGCTTGAGCATAGCCGCCAGGTGGGTGGAGACAACCTTGGGCGAGAGAGGAGGGCGTTGGGTATCGATGACTACCTTCCGCTGTTTGGCGTCCCATCTCATATAGTTCCAGTAGAAGGCAGGGTTCTCGTCCGTGTGGTGTCGACCTCGGGAGGCAAGTGCTCCTGGTAGAGAGATAAGTGCTGATTCCTTGTCCTGATTCGTGCTGTCGTAGGCGACGTGATCGAAGCCCTGGGCTCGAGTGTGCAGCTCGTGAAGGAGACCGAGGAACAGGGCGTAGCGAACGGGCTTGCCAGGGGTGTCCTGGGGCTGGTCCGACTTCCACTGTTGCTGGATCCGTGCCAAGGAACCACACTGTTCGCTTGGTGCACCGTGGCGTAGAAGATCCATCCATGATGGTATCGCAAGGCTGTCAATTCATCCTCGTGATTCAGCAGGGCCAAGATGATGCTGGCCAAGAGGTCAGCGGTTGGTTTGACCTCCTGCTTTGATTTCGGCAGACCGTTTTGCGAGGCCCTTGGTCTGGAGCCATTACGGCGACCAGTCCTCCTGGGCCTCCTGGACGGTGAGGGCAACCGAGTCGGCGGCATTTCCTCGTCCTGCTCCAGGTCCTTTTGCTGACGGCGCTGTTTGGGAGGCCTGTCCCTGTCGTGAGCAGGGACCAGTTCTCTGGACGTTGAACGTTCATCAGGGCCAAATGCCCGCGCAGCCATGGATGAAGCGGCAAGATGGGGGAGGTTCTTAAAGAGCACTTGGCATAGTGCAGGGTTGTTCAGCAGCTCCTGCTGGGCTTGCTCCATAGCGCTTGGGGAGGACACGCATGGTATCACGAGTGAAATCGCTTCCCGTTCACCTTGAGGAGGGGACCTCACACGAAGATGAACGGGACTTAACTTAAGCGTTGGAGGAGCAAAAGGTAAGCTCCTGACCCGATCTGTGCACGTTCCTCGCTCGTAGGCGAGAAGCCTGGGCTGGAGTCATCACCTACCTGGAGAGAGGGAAGCAAGGTGAAGGATCTGTAATGACCTGAGGTGGCTTCCTGCCCTATGTGAAAGAGTCCCGAGACGGATCTGTAGCGAACAAAGGATTGAGAGTGAGGCCCGGTCCATGCAGGCAGCTGTACTTCGTCCTGCAAGCCCGTGAGTCTCCAGTGCTGCTTCGCTCCGGCATTTGTGAATCTTGGCAGAGACACAAAGATATAAGGAGGTGTATACAACAGTGCCGCCTTCGAGTCATGCGGAGAGTGCCACTCGTGCACAAAAAAGGACAGTGAATAAGCTAAGTGGGGCGCCGCTAGGGAGTCAGGCTGGGACAGCCTGGTCGGGTCGGTGCCTTCCGGGAAGGTTAGTAGAAGGGGGGAGAAGCCAGTTGAGTCGGGTATGTCTGCATCATAGACTCGCTTCCAGGGGGTACCTTGTAAGGAGCCATGGTGGTTAGCCAACAAGAACGTCAAGTACTCGAGTGCATCACTTTGCCTATTAGCAAGCCTCCAGTCTGGATGACAATGCGGGAGCGATTCTAGTGCGAGAATAGAGACTGGGTGCGAGGCCCTTGCTCGAAGTTCCCGCTGGAGAGGTTGGAGGTTCGACCAGTCCACTGAGGGGTCTTCCCTCAGAGCGCTAATCATCTGCAAGACTGAAATGGCGTAGCACAAGTTATGAGGATTAATCAATTGTGGCATAGGCTGAGCTGCAGGAGGCGGTGGCGGAGCAGAGGCATCCAGGTCTGTCGGTGCTGGCTGAGGAGGTCCTGCGCCTAGCTGTGCAGCCTGGGAGGCACTCCCTGGGCGAAACCATCGCTGAAGCTGACTTTGCTTGGACCTGGGATTAGGAGCCTGCAGGGTCCGCTGTTGGAACGTCTTTGGTTGGGGGGTAGCCTGTGTGGGAGATGCGTGTTGGTGTGATGTTGTCGTGCTCTGCCCGGGGTTAGGGACCGCAGGAGAAGATGCGCCAACCCCAGAGGTGGGAGGCGAGAGATGTGAGAGCTGAGTGTGTTGGAGGGACGAGTGCATTCTGGAAAGAGGGGCGTCAGGGTGCAGAAAGAAGAAGAGTTGTAATTGCTGAATGACCGGGCACTGCTTCGTGTGTCGGGGGGCGCTCTCCACTTTCACGCCACAGGCAGGACAGGGTGACAGGCGGGTCAGCACATACATCTTAGAGGTGTTATTCCCCGCCGAGGCTTTATAAGAGTCCCATTCTGCCCCGTGTTTCTTTGTGAGGTGGAAGGCTATTTTTGTCGTGGAGGCTATCCACGAGTCGCAGAGCAGACAGGTCCTGGTGAGTTGCTGGCCAAGGTGGCCGGTGAGGAGCTCGAGGAAGGTCTGGGTTCCGGCCTGTTGCAGCAGTTCGGTGCGCATGCGCGAAATGAGAGGCACTGTGTCCATCTGCAAGGTAAGCTGGACCGAGGGTGCGGCAGTAGCACGGCAGTCTGACGAGGGCACGAGCTCCTGGCTGGAGGAGACCTCACTCGCCTTGGAAGGAGCTTCGTCAGCCTGAGTGGCCGCCTCAGGTCTAGAAAGCTTGAAACCAGCCTGTCGGCAGACTCTGCGCTCAACATGCTGTTGTAGATTATGCCAGTTTTTAAATTTCGCCTGGCAGTGCGAGCATTGAGGCAGGCCTCCCACGGAGTGCTTTAGGCGTGAGAATTCAAGGGGTGGCGGAACAGGAGCCGGGTGCTTGACTGTCCGGTGTGTTCTCATGCCCGCCGCAGTACGAAATACCTTTCCACAGCATGTGTGCATGGGCACGTCCGGAGAAGGGTCAATGTCGGCCTCCCTGAGCAGCTTGCTGTAAGAGGCTACAATTTCCTCCGCCGTTTGCAGGGTGGAGGGAATAGTTAAGATATCTTCACGTGGCCAGGCGCCGGACTGAGTGAGGAGCGAAGAGCTCGCGTTGGCCGGCGTGGATGTGGAGCAGGAGGTGACCTCACTCGCTGGGGCTGCATTCCGGCGCTTGCGGAGAGAGTCTAGGCGCTGGGCGGAGCGATCATGAAGCTGCTGAATGGGAGAGACAAGTTTCAGACGTGCAAAAAGCGCTGCTGTAGTTTCACGAGTCTTATGCACAGGGTTGTGCGTTACCGCTCGCACCTGTCTGGCATGCCATGAGCGGAGAGCCCTTGCCCGCCTGCCTGAGAGACCAACGGATTCCAGGCCAAAAGTGGCCGTGGACCAGACGGTGGCTCTCCAGACAAGCAGCCTAGATGCGGTTTTTGTCCTGCGCTTATTGTGAATGAATTTGCGCACTGTCTGCTTTTTCTTCGCCGCTCTCTCTTGTCTTAAAGAATAGGTAAGATCTTCCGGGTTTGAGTAGCTGATCATGACTCCTAGATACTTGAAGGAGTCTACCAGCTCGAAGGAAGGAAGAGAGGGGAGAGGGGGAAGAACTGAGGAATGCGAAAGCAGAATTGGCCGTCTTGGCTGCTCTGGTGCGTCTATATTCCAGACCGTGACCTTCCGGCCTGAGCGAAGCTCCTGTGACTTGAAGAGCTTCTTGGCCTGCTGTGCGTGGCGACCTGCCAGTTTAACCATGATGTTGCACTTGGCGTAATTCACTTCTAGTCCGGCTTCTTGCAGGTAGTGCAGTAACAGTCTAACCATGTCATGAGCCGCATAGAGATCAGACCAGTTGTGGATGTCTCGGTGAATTACGAGGTCATCTGCGAAGCCTGTGAGGAACTGCTGTATTGGAGAGAACCCTATGTGGGTGGCCATAAGCCGGAACGCCTCCGTGATGACCAGGGAGAAGAGGGAGGGGGCCAGTTTGCATCCTTGCTTTATACCTCTTGTGGAGGTTACTGTTTCCTGGCTTCGTCCATAGCGCAGATTATACTGGGCCTCCCTATGGAGGGATGCAACCAGCTCGACGTCTTCGGGTGAGGCTCCGTAAGTAATTAGTGAGCGCAAAAGAGCTTCTCTGCTTGTTTTGTCAAAAGCTTGAGAGAGATCTAGTGAGAAGGTGAAGCCTCCGATTAGGTCCGGCTTGCCCTTCGTGCGCTTGGGAGTGCAGAATCTGTCTGGTGCTCGGGATCGAAGCATGGCACGGACGCGCCTTGCGTGGCCAATTACCCGGAGTTGGGCATCGGCGATACCGCGTCCTGGAATGTAGGCAAATTGAGGGGAAGCAAAGTGGGCCTTCTTGAAGAGGGGGTCAAGTCTTCTCCTAGCCTCAGAGGCTATTCCTTTGCCATCTGGCCTAATGATGCCCAGCGGTCGCAAGTTCTCCGGCTTAGAGGCTGGTTTAGAGGGCTTGGGTATGAAGCTAAGGTCTGCTGACTTGGCTGTTATGGGCAGCGAGGGTGGCTCGGCTGGATTCATTGGTGCTGTGTTATGCTGAGGCTCGCGCTTCCCTTGGAAGGAGGTGACCTCGCACGCCTGATGGGTCGGAGCGGGAGGCGGAGGCACCGCTTCGAGATAGTCGCAGTAGTTATTGGCCACAGTGGAAGCACAAAGGCGGTACATGGATGCGGGGGCAGATCCTTGCGGTACTGCCTTTTCCGGCTTTATAGAGGCTATGCCTTTGGACAGACTACTTTTGTCCAGCTTGGGCAAGGCTTGGCCTACGCCACTAGCTAGGGGGGGATGCGAGGAGAAGATGGAAAGACTATGTCTCTTTAACTCTGCCAGTCCCTCAGGTTCAGTTAGG